ATAAACCTTTTACCTCATCCTAAGACTAGTTTTCCTTAGTTCATTTTTGATATCACAAAATAAAGGCCTCATAAGTTTGTTAAATTTCCATTTCTTCATTAATTCATTTGGTTTGACAAAAACATTCATTGAGCCCCTGTTGCTCTCGGGGTTAATCAGAGTACAGTGTAAAGTCCCTGCCCCTGTGGAACTCCCATTTTGGTGAGAAGGAGACCAATGATAAATAAGTCCCTGTTCGTATATCTGATGGTGTTAAGTGCTGTGGGGAAAAATAAAGTCGGGTAGAAAAGGGTTAGAAAATTCTGGGTTGTGGAGTAGACCCAAGTTGGAATTTTAGCAGGGAGGCCTTGCTGAGTGTGTGTGAGGCTTGAAGGAAGTTGAGAAGAAAACCAAGGAAGTGCTTTCTGTCTGGAATGATTTTCAAACACAATGAAGGTTAAGGAAAAGTGGGCCTTTTGAGCTGCTTTCAGGTTTAAAGCTGTAGACTTGAATTCCAGCTCTTGGCTCACTAGTTTTCCTGATCTTGAAGTTACTTAACCTCTTTGGACCATTTTCCTCTTCCATGAACTAGAAAATCATAATTCCTACCTTTTAATATTGTCATAAGGATTAAATGAGGTAATATAAAAAGTACATAGCAAGTCCCCGACACAGCATAGAAGAGTCTTTCCTTCTCTTTTGATCAGGCTGCAAGCTATGGTTTTGGAGAAATGAATTCTGTGATGTATAATTGGAGTTGTTGGAAAAATATTTGGTCAGGTATTTAGGGAAGTAGTTGAAAATAAAGTAGGTGGATCTGAATTAATCTGATGACTAGTTTGTTTTTTCCTTAGGAATTGAACAATGCTTGTGAACCCGTTGTAACACAACCCAAACCAAAAATCGAATCACCCAAACTGGAAAGAACTCCAAATGGGCCAAATGTTGATAAAAAGGAAGAAGATTTAGAAGGCAAAAATAATTTTGGTGCTGAACTTCCACATCAGAATGGTGAATGTTACCCGAATGAGAAGAGTTCTGTTAATATGGACTTGGATTAGATAACATTAAATTGGCTTGTTCCTTCAATTAATAAAATATTTTTGCCATAGTATGTGACTCTACATAACATACTGAGACTAATTTATATTTTCTTTTTTAAGGATGTCTAGAAAATTTGTGTATTATATGGAAAAAGAAAAATGCTTAAGTCTGTAGTCTTTATGATCCTAAAAGGGAAAATTGCCTTGGTAACTTTCAGATTCCTGTGGAATTGTGAATTCATACTAAGCTTCTGTGCAGTATTACCATTTGCATCACTGAGGATGAAACTGAATTTTGTCTTTTGGAGGAAGAAACCAAACTGTACTGCTTGTTCAAGAGGGCTGTGATTAAATCTTTAAGCATTTGTTCCCGCCAAGGTAGTTTTCTTGCATTTTGCTCTCTATCTCAGCATGTGTGTGGGTGTGGATGTTTGTAAACAAGACTAAGTCTGATTTCATAAGGGCTTTCTAAAATCAATTCTGTCCAATATAATATGACTTCTTGCTTTCATATTAAGAATTCAATGAGTAAAACAAAAGCTAGTGAAATGTGTTAGCAGCATGCAGAACAAAAACTTTTAAGTTGTCTCACTGTACAGTACGTTGTCATGTGAAGGTGTGAAATGGAAGAGGTGTCGGACCTGTTGTAACTGAGGGTGACAACTCTTATGAGCTTTAAAATAAAGTTCATCTGTGTCATTTCTAAACTGTTGGTTTTGTCACTAATCTAAAAAGGGGATTGGGGGAGAGGATTATGAATTATTGTAGCAGAAATGAAGTTACTTAGTGTGAAAATCCAGTTTTCCTTTTTTGCTTCAGTTTATATATGCTCTCTCTTCATGTAGCTTTCTCCTGAGGGAAAAATAGTATATGTTTATTATATTAAAACATTTTTAAATAGAAAGTGAATATAATTTAAAATTATACCACCAAGAAAAAAACATGGTTAACATTTTGTTGCATATCCTCCATGACTCTTACCTGTAATGATGGGTGCATCTGTGTGGGTGTAAGTGTATGTGCTACAGTGTTGTGGGCTGTTTTCTAAAACTGTGTACCAGGGAAACCCATCAGTAAATAAATATAGTGTGGTGTCATTACAGCTTCACAGTCATGGTGAGTTCCATTGTAAAGACATGCATAAATATGTTTTATTTAATCCCACTATTGGTAGGTTTAGGTGTTTCTCAAGTTTTTGATATTCTAAATAATGCTGCAGTGAATCTCGTCTATCCAGTTATTACTTTCTAAGGACAACACTGGAGTAGTGTTGGGTTTGGTGGGGAGAAGACGTGTGTACCTCATGTGAGGGGATTAGTCTTTTACCTGTAGCCGTTTATTATAGTAGCTACTGTTTGGCTACTCTCCTTTCACACAGAGTGACTACTCTTAATAAACCTCACCGGTGGCTTTTAATTTTCAAGGTCATACAGGAGGTATCAATTAGGAAAACAAACTCCACTACTCAGGTTACTCAGATTTTAAAGCCCACATTCTGAACAGCCCTAGACTAGCTAATTTGTCATTTTGTATGTCTGTGTTTCAAAACATCTTAAGATTTACCTTTTTTCATGAATTATGTATTTTGCTTATTTGTAATGTTTGAATGTTTATATTTTTGTTTTTTTTGTTTTTTTGTTTTTTTGTTTTTGTCTTTTTTCGTGACCGGTAACGGGATCGCAACCCTCGGTGTCGCGCCCGCACCGCGCTCAACCAGTGAGCAGACCGGTCTCTATATGGGATCCAAACCCTCGGCAGGAGTGCCGCCATGCTCCCAAGCGCCACACTCTACCGAGTGCGCCACCGGGCCGGCCCTATATTTTTGTTTTAAGGATCTTAATCATTTGTCAGTCGCACTCAACCAGTGAGCAGACCGGTCTCTATATGGGATCCGAACCCTCGGCAGGAGTGCCGCCATGCTTGCAAGCGCCACACTCTACCGAGTGCGCCACCGGGCCGGCCCTATATTTTTGTTTTAAGGATCTTAATCATTTGTCAATTATCTAATATTTCCACAATTTAATTTCTTTTAACTGTGTTTTTACCATTTAAAAAGCATTAAATTTTCCCCATACCAGTCAGCCACCAAAAAGAGAGAAGGCTAGCTGGTTAGCTCAGTTGGTTAGACCACAGCCTTATATAACATGAAGGTTCAGGTCCCTGTACCAGCCAGCCACCAAAACTTAAGAGCCTTAAGTTTTTATGTAATCTCTTACATGGTTTTCCTTATGTTCTTTTATTTTTTAATGCACCCTAATGTGTACTCCATAGGTATTCATTTACCCATTGAGAGGTGGAGATAGGTTAGTGTTCTATATACAACTGAGAAGCTCGTAAGAATAAATGAAAGATTTGTTTAAAAATATGAACAGGAAAATATTTTCCTCTCAAAATAAAACCTGATCATAATGGAGGAAGCATCAGTCTTGCCTAAATCAGTCTTTTTATTAAATGCTAGAAATTTTCTTTAGCATAACTTTTCTGTAAAGATGAGTCAGTATTTAAAAAAAAATAGTTCAACTGGCTATGTTGAGTCATGCTAGTAACAATGAACAGAACTGAACTTTGAGTCTAACTCATCGTGAACATTGGTTATGTCCAAGCAATGATTAAATTGCTTTCTTGGACAAAATCCCCAATGTTCACTTGATTTTTATTGTCCTTGATTTTCATCAAAAATAACTGTGTCGTGTATAATTTGTCTAGTGTAACACGCCTCTCTACAAAACAGCCTGTCAGAAGTTACTTTCTGAAAGGCCAAAAAAAACTTTAGTTGTGATGAATGACTTGCAACATTCACAATATTTTTTTGTGCATCATTACCACTTGTCAATTACTTTCAGACTTTTATCTCGCCAGTGGTTTGTGATTGCTATGGAGGAATATCTCCGTCACATGTAATCTTGGTGTAAAACAATCATGCTTTTCTGGGGAGACCAAGTCTTCAAGAATATTTGAAGAGAGAGGTTCTTTCTCAAAGTACTGAGTAGTTTTGCTGTGGTTAATTATGCTCTCCTAGTGAGCCAGATGATAAGAAAAGTTCCCCTATCTGTTCTGGCATGTGTGCTATGGTTTTCTCCTAGTGGTCTATCTCTGCTAGCCTTGAGGACTTCCTAAAAGACCACCAGTCAAAACTAGTTATTCTTGAGTCTGCGTTAGCATGTTGTTTGTAAATAACATAGCCATGTGTGATGTATTGAGTTTGTGATTGCTATGGAGGAATATCTCCGTCACATGTAATCTTGGTGTAAAACAATCATGCTTTTCTGGGGAGACCAAGTCTTCAAGAATATTTGAAGAGAGAGGTTCTTTCTCAAAGTACTGAGTAGTTTTGCTGTGGTTAATTATGCTGTCCTAGTGAGCCAGATGATAAGAAAAGTTCCCCTATCTGTTCTGGCATGTGTGCTATGGTTTTCTACTAGTGGTCTATCTCTGCTAGCCTTGAGGACTTCCTAAAAGACCACCAGTCAAAACTAGTTATTCTTGAGTCTGCGTTAGCATGTTGTTTGTAAATAACATAGCCATGTGTGATGTATTGAAAGTTGTAGGGTAATTAGCTTTTCCAGTCACTAGTGGTTTCATTTCCTCAGAATTGTAGTGTACTATGGGCTCTTAACAGTTCTTTTCTGCTTAAGGGCAAGTGGCAGTATGGTTTAAAGGAAAGAGCACCTTTTGAGTAGGAAAAGATTTAGATTCACATCCCACTGTCAAACCATGCTACCCCTCAAGCACTGTGGTTTGTAGGCCTGTCATTTCTCTGAATCCCCATTTCCACATCCAAACCTACATAACCTCAACTGGACCAATCTCTGACATTGTGGACTCCTCTAGGGCAGGGTTTCTCAATTGTGGCACTGTTGACATTTAGGACTGGATAATTCATTGTTGGGATGGCTGTCCTATGCTTGTAGGATGTTTAACAGCATCTCTGGCCTCTACCCATCAGATGCCAGTTGTACCCTCGTATAACTTCGTATAATGTATGCTATACGAAGTTATTACGAATATGTGTATGAGTTTAGGGACAAGCTCTGTGGACCATATGAAAAATTTATATGTGAGCAGGTATGTTTATGTTTTAGAGCTTTGTTTTTATTACTTTATAGACATTTTCATACGAAGTGTTTAGTACCACATTTGACATTTAAGCCTCTACTAGATTATGTAACTTGAACTTCTTGAAAACAATTTGAAGATAGAAATTATGTAAACAAAGTCTTGGAGAGAGAGGCTTGCAAGTGATGAGCAGTTTTATTTTATTGTAGTTTACCCCAGTAGAGCTTTGTTTTTACCACCCAGAAAAGAGGACCTATCAAACGTTTACTCAGAGTCTATGGCATCACAGTTATGGGGGCTGGAAAGATAAATAAGAGAAAATCCTTGCTTTCAAAGATGTCAGACTTTTTAAATGATGTTGCTCCCTTGGTAGCTTTTAATCATTGTTTTATCCCATAAGACTTGTTCATCCAATCATTCCAGAATTTATCAAGCACCATTATTCCTCCTAATCCTTTTCTTGACTCCCAGTGAATATAGCTCTGAGTAAATTCCAGAAGCACACCTGTGCAAGATGGGACTTGGAAAAAAATTGGTGAGATGGAAATCTAGTATGGTTTAGGGATTAATTCTGAAATTAAAGGTCATTTAAACTTAAGTTAGGAGTCTGTTTTAGTCCTAAAGTCCTTGGGCTGCCTTGTAATAGAGTTCACTTCTTAGCTGGGCCCTGGCATGTCCTGGTTTCTTATGTTTGAGATTCTGAAGTAGGGATGACCCAGCCAGGCTGGAGTAGAAGTACATACCTTACATGAATTGCTTAGGAATGATTTTTTTCATTTGTTCAGTGATTGCATTGCCAACCTGTATAGCTTCCCTTTCAATATTTGTGGGAGGGGGTAGAAAGTTACCAGTCAAGACCTAGCTGTTTTGGAGAGCAGGAAGATAATTTCTGTTCCATAAACACATCTCAGTGTATGCAGATTGTCTAAAGTTGGGCTTCTATTATAAGTCAATACGGGCAGTTTGTGAAAAATTCTCAAATGTCACTGTGTGACAGAAGCCAAAGAATACCTATCAGTCCCTCATAAAGAATTGTATGGAGTTCATAAATAGTAGAGTGTTTATTGTTCCTTAATATCTTTCAGTGAAGAGAGTCCAGCTAATCCGAATGACTTCTTAGATAAGATTAGGAACCTAGTGTTTAGCACTTCTGAGAATGCCTGTTTTGTTGTGAAAACTTCTGAAGTAAAATTGCCACTAATCTTGTTTCATATAAAGGATCATGAAAATTTTTTGAGACTCCTCACAGAGACTGAAGACTGGCTCTATGAAGAAGGAGAGGACCAAGCTAAGCAAGCATATGTTGACAAGTTGGAAGAGTTAATGGTAAGCCCTTCTCTCCTTCTAAAAAGTGGTACGTATGTTTTAAATGACAGACATTTAAAATATAATCATAGCAGCTATTAATTTACTGCATTTTGTTTTAGAAAATCGGCACTCCAGTTAAGGTCCGGTTTCAAGAAGCTGAGGAACGGCCAAAAATGTTCGAAGAACTAGGGCAGAGGCTGCAGCACTATGCCAAGATAGCAGCCGACTTCAGAAATAAGGTCAGTCAGTCTTTCTGTACATACTTGTGGTGAGAAAGTTAGCCTAGAATTTAATAAGCTAACATTTAAGCTGAGAAATCTTCTCTGTAAGTTAATAGTCTTAAGTGGGAAATTTTGGTGTTTTTTGTTATTGTTGGGCATAAATGTTTGTTTTTTTATTATTGTTTAGTATAAGCATATTATTACAAATCATGGTTTTTCTTTATGCCCTTTACCCAACCTATCCCTCCCCCAACCTCCCTTCTGCAAATTTTGGTATTTGAGACCACTTGTAGATTTGAACTTCATAGAAAGTTGGGTCAGATTAGGTGTTACTGTTAAATATTCAATGCTATAGAATGGCCGTGGTTTCTATGTAACTTGAACTTCTTGAAAACAATTTGAAGATAGAAATTATGTAAACAAAGTCTTGGAGAGAGAGGCTTGCAAAAAAAAAAAAAAAAAATTGCCAGCCAAGGATACTATAGCCAGCAAGGCTATCCTTCAGAAATGAGGGAGAAATAGTGTATTTCCCAGACAAAAACTGTTGGAGTTCACCACATAACCAACCCTGCAAGAAATTCTCAAGGGAGTCCTGCATCTAGAATCTGAAAAACAGTAGTCAGTATCTTGAATACACAAGAGAGAACAAAACCCACTGGTAAAACACAAATGCAAATGAGAAAAAGAAACTAAATCTTACCACCTCCAAAAAACAGTGAAGATGAATAATAAAAGGGGAAGAAAGGAACAAAAGATATTTAAGACATCTAAATAAAAAGCAATAAAATGCTAGGAATGAGATAAAACCATTTAATAACTGCCGTAAATGTAAATGGATTAAAGTCCCCATTCAAAAGACACAGACTGACTGGATTAAAAAGCTACATCCAACTATATGCTGTCTTCAAGAGACTCACCTCACCTGCAAAAACACACACAGACTAAAAGTGAAAGGGTGGAAAAAAATATACCACACAAGTGGAAACCAAAACTGAGCAGGAGTAGCTATTCTTATATCAGATAAAATAGACTTTAAACCAAAAAACCATAAAAAGAGACCAAAAAAATCCAACTACATAACGATAAAAGGATCTATCCAGCAAGAAGACATAGCATTCATAAATATGTATGCACCCAACACCAGATATATATAAAACAAACATTATTAGATCTAAAGAAAGAGATAGACTCCAACATAATAATAGTTGGGGACCTGAATACCCCTCTCTCAGCATTGGACAGACCATCTAGGCAACAAATCAACAGAGAAACACAGAATTNCTAGTGGTCTATCTCTGCTAGCCTTGAGGACTTCCTAAAAGACCACCAGTCAAAACTAGTTATTCTTGAGTCTGCGTTAGCATGTTGTTTGTAAATAACATAGCCATGTGTGATGTATTGAAAGTTGTAGGGTAATTAGCTTTTCCAGTCACTAGTGGTTTCATTTCCTCAGAATTGTAGTGTACTATGGGCTCTTAACAGTTCTTTTCTGCTTAAGGGCAAGTGGCAGTATGGTTTAAAGGAAAGAGCACCTTTTGAGTAGGAAAAGATTTAGATTCACATCCCACTGTCAAACCATGCTACCCCTCAAGCACTGTGGTTTGTAGGCCTGTCATTTCTCTGAATCCCCATTTCCACATCCAAACCTACATAACCTCAACTGGACCAATCTCTGACATTGTGGACTCCTCTAGGGCAGGGTTTCTCAATTGTGGCACTGTTGACATTTAGGACTGGATAATTCATTGTTGGGATGGCTGTCCTATGCTTGTAGGATGTTTAACAGCATCTCTGGCCTCTACCCATCAGATGCCAGTTGTACCCCTCACCCTGGTTGTACCCCTCATCCTGTATGTGACAACCAGAAGTGTCCTCTGTCCCTTGAAAACCACTGAACTTCAAAACAATATACAAACAGAAGGGAGTGAATTGGTCCTTACTGAATGCCTCCCGGTGATCTGGCAGTGTGCTAGCTGCCCTTACTCAGGCCTCACACTAATCCTACCATGTTACAGGTGAGAAAATGGGGTGAAAGACACAGTCTGACCAAGTTAAAAGGTCAATCAAAACTTAAATCTGACTGACTCCAAAGCCCATGTTCTCTGTCTGGTGGTAGAGTGATAAAAAATTGGCACGCACTTACCCAGGTTCAAAGTTGACCAGCAGTGACAAAATGCACTGAAAACTTCGTGGAAG